TCCATTTCCTTTATCGTAAACAAATCGTACACAGTCCTTTTTAGACGCACAGAGTGGATCAGTTATCAACTTGGACGACACTCGATGATCGATTGTAGTTTATCCGTAATGGCCGATTGCTGTTCCAAGGAATCTTCCGTAGTATGTCCATGATAGTGCGTCGAACATGTCTCATCCTCCAGCAGTAAATGACAGGGTTCAAAGATGAATTAAGAAACACAAGAGACATTGAGTAAAGATAAAAATGTTTTGAAGCGATACTCGAGCCATAGATTCGAATAACAGCCGAGCAAATACAAAAAGGCAAATAACAAATTAACAACACGAGATATACATAGAATGTGCTAAATGTGGATTTCATGACAACCATAAAGTTTTTTAATTCATCAGAATGAGCTACTTCTTGTACTTGCATAGAGTGAATCTGATTCTTGTGCCGTCGGACAGTTAAATATATCCTGATGTACACCACAAATGTGACAATGAAACCGAAAGCTGCAATAACTGACTCTGTAATCTCCTGAGCACCAGCTAACCCCCACAATGTTATCAAAGAAAAAAATGCACTGCACAGCCATTTGCCGATCACCACAACAACAACACGCCTGTGAGTCACAAGCTCTTGATATCTGAGATGAAGATGAACGGCCAAGAACCTGTCTACACTTACAGCCACAACACCAAGGAACGAAGCAGCTGAGAATAAATAACCTGAAATAATCAGCACTAGGTGAGTATTACAGCTAAGATTGTCCAGTTGTAACCACTTGACCAGAAAAAAAGTGTATAATGGTTGGATAAACAAACCAACAGCAACATCCGAGCAGGCAAGACTTAGTAGCAGAGTTTTCAAAGTTTTTGCCATCGCCGAAGTTTTGTGGATGGCGTAGATTGTCACAATATTCAACACGATGGAGGTGTGAGCTATAAAACTGTTAAAAATGCAGTTGGCGATAAAAGTCGAACGAAGATCTTTAAGTTCCGTGTATGTGGGAAAATATTCCAAAGACTTGTTAAAAAATGATTCTTTCATGATATCAACTCACTCATAAAAGATAGGACCCTCTATTTCAGACAAATTGAACGAGTTGCGATTCTTTAGCGGGACAGTTTCTCCTTATTTCGGGCAGCGATTCTTTGGCTGATTCCACATTCTACCTAAAACGTTACCTTTCCTCCCAAAAGTGGTGAACATCAACAAAAGGTATCCTCTTCTTGAGGTATGGGTTTTAATGTTGTAAGCCAATGACAAAGAAAGAGCTTACGTCAGACAAATCAACAGACTTAAGCAGTCAAGATGTTCAACTGTCTTTTGAACTAGACAGTTTTCTCGCGAGGCTTGTTTTTAATCATATATCTTGGAGATATTAATACTCATACTAAGACAAAATAAAATGTGTCCTTGAAAGCCTCCCTTGCCCCAGCCCACACCTCCGCCGTCCCTGAGGTATTCAGGTATCACCATGAACGACACTTGAACGCCGATTGTAAAATTACGCCAGATGGCTGATTTGTTCTCCAAGATATGTTCTGCGGTATTTCTATGAAAGCGCATCGAATGCGTCTCACCTTTTAGCAGTAAATGACGATCCGTTATGGAACTCTTTCTAATAACTCAGTTCTCGCTATTTGAGAATCAGTTTTTGCGGCAATCGTTGCTGTTAGAAGTAGATGCATACTATTTGGAGGTCTACAGACGAAAGCCACCGAATATAGTTAATCTGTCATTTATCCCACAAAAGGAATGGTCAATATTCATTGTTCAAAATCAATTTCAATTTCAAATCGTCACGTAATCGTCATGGATAAGCCCGAAATTTGAGCCGTCGATTACCTGTCAAAAGAAAAGCTTTAAAGCACTTTTATCACGAGACTAATTTCTTGACCACATTTTACATAACTGACCCATTAACTTGCCTAGAAATTGGAAATAATTGTTAAATCAATTCAAAAACATATCTATTACTGCGTCTAGGCGAAAGGCGATCACAAGAAAAAACGTACTTAATTTTAAGCTCATAAAATTCCCGGTCAGCTTATATCATGTACGATCACCTGAAGACATCTGCGGACTAATTATTAGCTTAAGAGACCCCAAAACAGTAAGAGGGTCCCAATGGGGTTAACCGTTTGCCGTAAAACGGCCAAAATATTTAGCCGTTAGACGTAAAAATTGACAAATTTTAACCGTAAGTCGTAAAAAAAGTTAACCGTAAAAAATATCTCTGGTGGAAACAATGGAAATGTGTCAACCGTTAGCCGGAAATTGGCCAAAATTTTAACCGATAGCCGTAAAAGCCATCACCCCATTGAGACCCTCGAGTAAGGGAAGGCACATTTTTTATTATGGGGGTGAGGGGGGTGGGTCGCACTTCACAGAATGGATTAATGTATGACTCCTCACAAATACCTACACAAAACATCTGACCCTCCCTCATCTCCTCCAAGACAAAAATAACCGGAAGTGAAAATAATTAACCGGAAGTGTTATTCACACAACTGCATCTGCGCTCAAACTAGTTAATTGCGTGGCGTGTGATTGCACGGTAAAAACTTGAAAATGGGCAAGGACGTAAGAGGAACAGAAGGAGGAAAATGCGCTTGTGGTGAATGCGAGGATTTCGTGAGGTCAGATGGAGCAACTTGTGGATATTGTGGCTGTTTGCCGACTCGCCATTCTGAAAAGGATGCCCGCTATTCCCCGACTCTGTTGGTGGTACATCGGGTGCGGGAACAAGTGAAAGTGCAAGTCCACAGAAGTGGTAAGGTGAAGACCTGGGGTGTTTCCCGGACCCAAAGGGCGAATATACTGAATCCTCAAATAATATTCTGCCAAAATGCTATCTGTCCTTTTGGATCACTTGTACCTACATGGAACGCTTTCGCCGCTGTTTCGTGACTGGAAGAAAGCGCCACACAAGTTGGCTTTTGTGACTTCTGATAATCCCGCGGCTGCCGGGAGATTCATGGAGGAAAATTTTAGCGCAAAACGCCATGACGCTACCACTATTAAGAACAACATTGATGACCTTTCGAAGCCGAAGGTCAAAATCGATGAGCTGAATGCGAAAGTAACTGAAAATGGTGATGCGCTGTTCGATTCAAACGGACGGGATATTTAATCTGGTCATAAATTTAGTCCTAATGCGAATGAAGAACTTCTGGAGAGTTTAAAATCAATCAAAAACACTGTGGGCGAAACCATGGAGCTGTTGGAGAAGGCTCGAGACAAAGTGGCGTCAATTTTCCCATTGAAACAGGGAAACGCGCTAAGGAAGTCGCGAATACCAAAGCAGAACCGCCACCAGAACCCCGCGCGGAAACATTACCGCTGTCGAAATTTCGTGTACCTGTGTAGTTGATCTTGCCTATTTTTTGTAGCTGTAGCAAGGCTTAATATCATACAAAGAATGTAAAGAGAATTAAATTGCTTCTTTCGTTTCTACGTTTGTTTGTAGTCCATGTTCATTTCTTTGATGACATTTTGGGGGCTTCTTAGTACTCGGGAACTTATAAGTACAATCATTGCTGCTTTCGGTTTTCTTATCACATTTGTGGTGTACATCAGGACATATCAAACTGTACGACGGCACAAGAATCACATTCAGTCCATGCAAATACGAGACGAAGCTCAGTCTGAGGAGATAAAAAACTTAACTGTTCTCATTAAATCCACAGTTGACATATTCTACGTATATCTCGTGTTTTTGGTTTGTTGTTTGCCCTATCTCATTTGCATGGCTGTTATTCCATTGACCCTCATGTATCTAAATTCATCTTTGAACCCTGTCGCTTACTGCTGGAAGATGAGACACGTTCGACACGCTATCATGGATATACTTCGAAAGATGTCTTGGAACAGCGATCGGCCATTTCGGGTAAACTACAATCGGTCATCGAGTGTCGTCCATATTGATAACTGATCTCCTCTGTGTGGCTTACAAAGACTATACACAGTAATTCTTTACGACAAAGTGAAATAGGAACAAACAAGATTGTACATAAACTTAGTGATATGGCCCGGCAGCCAATTTTAATAGTTCCAATTTTAAGTACACAATATATCGAGTAATCACAACTGGAAGGGCAGAGGCTACTTTGAGCTAGAAAGCTGGCTTTTTCATCGATCGATCATGAAATTGTAATTATGGATGCAAAAAAAATTAGAATAGGACTCATGCTTTTATTCATATTAAGGTTTCTGTCGCTCTTAATTTCAGATCAGAATTAAAAACCAGTAACGGTGGTTGCGCTCTTGAGCTTCGGAAAAGTCTCTTCTTTGGCTTGTAAATTTTGCCCATGACTGCCAACTGTTTCGCCGAATCCCTTAAAACTAGCACTGACAACTAAATGAGATGCCAGCTTCAAATAAAATAGAAGGAAACCCGTGCCATCCATCCTACTGCCTCAAAAGCAAAATTCCTAAATTACTCCTTAGTAATGGAAAACGAACTTCTTCCTATTATATCCGGTCAACGCCTTGACTCCTTTGAATGTGTTATTTAAAGAAATTCCCAAGCAATTTGGGGACATGGTATTGATAGTAAGATTCTCAGAACTAAACAACAAATGAATCTAAGGTATAATCATAAGTGAAGGGAATAAACTTCAAGCTCTTTCATTAGAAGTTAAAAAAAAATAAATGATCCTACGATAAAACGGTATAGCATCACATTGCGAGCGTCTGGTAATACCGTCAGGAAGAAAAACATACAGGAGCTAGTATTTACGAGGGAAGAAAAATCGATGTTAATCATTGGCTAATGAGTGGCTTCATAACGAAGATAGATTAAGCGACATACTTGAAAATTACACAAACAACGAAAAGCATCTAGTTTGCCTCAACACTTTTGTGGTAAAAACTTAGTCGAAGCAGAAACTGCCTATAAAAACGATAACAGAGGTGGCTAGAGAGTTATCGATTAGCCCGCGCATGTTTGCAGGTGGTTCTTGATAATACCGTGAGTTTTGAAATTAAGTTTGTTCTTCCTTGTTATCTCTTTGCGCTTAGATGCAAATAACAGATAGGTTTTGACATCAATTTGACAATCCTTTTCAATTTCTAGACAAGTTAATGGATCAACAAAGTGAAATGTAGTGAAAGCATTAGTCTTATAATAAAAGTGTTGAAAAGTTTATTTGTACAGATAATCGACGGCTTAAATTTCGGGCATATCTATGATCGAGTGTCTTCCACAACAAAAGCTGAAATCTTCTGTGTGGCTAACAAGCGCTTTGTTTGGACGTTTGCTGTCGTTAGAGTAAACAGGGATGGGAGATACGAAATTCTATTTAGACTCAATGATATCCCAATGGCCAAAATAATTGGTCACTTCAATATTTGAATGAAATAATCTATGAAGGAATTGCAGTCGGAAAGACGGAGAGATTACATTGAATAGTAAAGCCCGTTTTACTTTAGTGAGATGTTGTTATTATGAAGGTTCTCGAAGAAGAAGTAATTGGGAGACATGATATTATGTGTATCAAGGTTTTCGTCGTCTCTTTAAAATCAAAATCGAAACTCGATGAGAAAAAAAGAAACAGCAAAATAAAAGAACAGAATTAACATGGATCACAACATAGACATGTAAAAGTAACAACAAGCCGTTGGGACTCAGGAAAGGGTGACCGCTACTGCCTAACCCTTGACACCCTAACATCAGTATGCATATTCTCCAGACTGATCTGTATACATTTCCAATGACACTGATAAGGAGAATTTGCTTTCTATTTTTCTCATATCCTTAATGTGTGATGCAGGGGTGATGCTGTAAAGAGAAATTAGAAGCTAGTCACTCCCAGGGGTCAAAGGGTTGATATAGGTGACCGCTTGATAGAGGTAAAAATTGCATTTTCAATTCCATTTTCAGCACTTTAACAACCGACCTCCTAATACAGGGTGACCGCTAATACGGTGCTGCTTCATGCAGGTGCCATTATATTCCTATCTGACTCCTTGTAAAACGTCATGACAAGTTATTTATACTTGTTAATTAATTCTTTCTTCCTGCTGATCAGTATTTTGACAATTTTCGCTTTACTCAGTTCCTTCTAATATATACTTTTGGCCAAGAGATTGTAGACGATTTATAACCTCTTGTTTTGGCCGAATCGAGAAATTAAAGTCCTGCGAAATTAAGTCACCGCTAAAACAAGTACTGAATGATTTATTATAGTCGAAAAGTATCTCTCAAAAGAAACTTTTAACAATTTTTTAACAAGGTTTGTTTTCTAAATAGACTCGTTAAACATGTTAATACTATTTTCATACTTTTACAACACAAAAACCCGAGAGTAACCCGTGTCTAAGCTAGGCCGACATGGCTAATCAAGAAAAACTCATCCTTTAACAAAGATCTGAAATTTCCGCGTCTTAGCACAGACCTGAACCATCTGCAGCAATATTTGGCCTAATTGCTAAAACGTCGAATTTAAGCCACAGGTGTTGTCGCTGTTATAAATAGAATACTTTTTGGGTTCGGATTGCATCTCAGTATACAGTCATTGCACAAGTCCTTGTTAGTGACATGCAAAATAAAATGTGAAGTATGAAATGTTAATCAACTCATTTGCAGTATTTTTTTTTCGCGTTCATGGGCCGTTTGAAGCGTCTTTTTACTAAATTACTTCTGGACGCAGACGCCTCAAACGGCCCATGAAGACTAAAAATATCACAAGTGCGTCCATTAACATTTCATTGAACTTTATTGAGATATTCAGACCGACATGTGACTTAGATATGCCGGCAATTTTCAGAGCCTTAGTGTAGTTAGTGTAACATAGTGTGGTTCACCCGTGGAACGACACTTGAAGACGGTTTGTAAATTACGCAAGATGGCTGATTTCTTCCCAAGACATGTTCCACAGCATATCCATGATAGCGTGTCGATTGTGTCTCATCCTTCAGAAGTAAATGGCAGGTTTCAAAGACGAATTAAGAAATGTGAGAGTCAATGAGTAAAACCAAAAATACTAAGCTCGTTTTCATTGCTTTCATTTTTTCCAGAGTGACAGCTATGTTTATTAGGATATTAATAAAACATAAAAAAGCGCATTTCAGGTCTCATTTATGAAGAATATCGCGGAGTTCTCCAAGGTTTCCTCGAAAACATGATACGTGACGCGCTGACATACACTGAACACGCCGATCGTAAAACGAAGACCAGATGGACGTTGTATACGCGCTGAAACGACAAGGACGCACGCTGTACGGCTTTGGAGGCCGAAGAATTAAGAGCTGACATAACAAATAAACTTTGGAGCAAGCGTGTGAAGGAAAGACTGAAATTCTTATGATAGCCTTCAGAAGGACTGCAAGCTCTTAATTATGTTTTACTTTTGCTTACATTATTAATCTTCATTATTTCCCCAGGTGATACCTACTTAATTTCGTGTATCTGTGTACTTGATGTTGCTTATTTTTTTGTAGC